GCACTACACTACAATCCGGAAGGTCGCGAGTTCGAATCCCGATGAGGTAGATTCTTTCAATTGACCTAATTCTTCCAGCCGCACTATGGTCCTAGGGTCGACTCTGTTTCTAACATAAATGAGTACCAGGGATCTTCCTAGGGGTAAAGAGCGGCCAGGGAATAAGGCTGACAACTTCACTGCCATTTGTGAGCCGATTGTCTAGAGAAAATGTGGGAGCCTCGAAGTCTCACAACCCTATGGGCCTTCACGGCCTCTTACATGGATAGCTTTATCTTCACCTTTTACCTCGCTGGATGCCACTTTTCATCATCAGTCCTCTGATCCTGTGGTCGAATCAACTGTACGCTGTAAGGACAACCAAGACTTAGGCCTGTTGTTCATTTAACGATGCTGACCAGTAGCTCAGAGTAGATAATGTCGAATGGTGGTGTTATCAGTAAATACAGAATTGAAAAGAATTTAAAATCTAACAGTCATTCTCCTCGAGGGCGTGAGATAAACAGCGGGAAAAAAAACTGAGTCATGATAGCTCGAGTCTCAACCGAGATTCGAACCAATCACCTCGCTAATACAACACAGAAGCATTATCGTTCGACCCAACTTATTTGGTGAGGAGTAAAGTGGTTCCAATCTCTCAGCAGGACTCGAGTGTAGTGACAGAATGTTGTAGTTTCTTCAGCACCTTAAAATAGGCCCCTCTTGCTCACTGGCATTGCATAAAGAGTCTCCAAATGCCTCATCACATCTAGCATAAGTTGACACAGTGATGATAAAAAGCCACGAAAAAGACAGGTGAACGAATAACATACATCGGTCGCCCTTGAAGAATTAACAGGTGTTCCTAAGACAGAAATTTACTTGCTCATCAACAGATGTAAGCTCAGTGTCGGCCTATATTTAACCTCACATGTGATAATTGTTCAAATTTTCTATCCTAAAAAAAATCTGCTATATTTAACAGCATCTGACATGTTGGCATTTTTATTTGAACTACAGAATCAAGAAAAGTTTTATGGAATTTGTCCCACATGTTGGAAATCCTTGGGAAATTTCTAGTATTACGGATTACATGTCCAGGGGTAGCACAGTCGGTATAGCGACGGGCTACTGGCTGGACGACAGACGGGTCGGAGTTCGAGCCCCCGTAGGGTCAAGAATTTTCACTTCTCCGTGTCGTCCATACCGACTTGGGCCCCACCCAGCCTCCTATCCAGTGGGTACTGGGGGCTTTTTCTCGGGTGTAAAACGGAGGGGGCGTGAAGCTGACCACTCACCTCTAGCTAATGCCGAGGTCACACGTCTTCATGGCATAGTGCTTAATTAGTTAAGCACACGGACAAATTTACCTTCATGGATTCCCTATGACAGGAAACCAACTCTGACAACGTAAGATCGATGTGGCAATGTAGGAATTAGAGCACGACTTCCGGGACTAAATTCTTCATTTCGTATTAACGTTTCCTGGGGCGACCCCGTATAGTCAGTCGGACAGGTAGGTGTCAAATTTTCCAGTAACACTGCCGCATCTATCTTCATGGTAAAATAATAGGGTGCCACAACCGGGAAGGTAAAGTCAAAGTTATCACTGTGCTTTATTAACAACCACGCCATGAAAATGTATGGGGGAACGGAGAGATATCTCCACGCATTCTTACTTCGACACTAGATGGAGTTGTGATCAGCTTCACGCCTCGCAAATTTTATCCCCATACTCAGTGGATCGCAGCTGGCAGGGTACCAAATTTTGTGGAGGAGAGATATTTCTTACTTCCGCCGAGAATCGAACCCCGATTTCTCGATTGTGCAACCCATATCTGAGTCACTATACCGAATGAGAAGACAAACATGTGGACCTCAAGTCTAGTTTTATGTTCACTTCGGTCCCAACGCAGCTGGTTTGTGAGAACAGCTCAGTACTGTCATGGGAGAATTCTCTAGATCAGGGGTCTCCAAACTTTTTGAACCGCGGGCCACATTAGGTAATTCAGAACTTTCAACGGGCCGAATAAAATGAGAAATTAATAACTCTAGGTATATGAGTTTTATTGAAAGCACAGAATTTCATAAACTAAATACAAAGTACGTGAGAATAAATTATCGTATATTAATGACAACAGACAGTAGCAGCAAATGCTCATATTTTCATCACAAATTATATTAAAACAATTAATGTGAATGATGGAACTCTTTTTGCATTCTTAAAATCTGATTAAATTGAGGTTCAAATTATGAAACGCTAATCACAAATAGCGACTTTAAATGTTCATCGGATAAATTTGCCCTGTATTTCGACCTGTTGTACTTCATCTGGGAAAAAAAGTTTGTTCACACAGATACAACGTCCCAAAAATGGAGATAAATTTACAAGCAAATTTCTTTAAATTTGGAAATTGCTCAGAGTTCAGAAATTTATAAAATTCGATCAAATTTCCTTCCTTGTATTTGTCTTTAATATGATAATTTTCCTGAAGTTCAATAATTTCCATTTGAATTTGACTTGGGACATCTGCAGCATCACAGTCAAGCGGATTTTGAAACAATCTAATTTCCTGAGCACTGGAATCCAAATCAGCAAATCGCTTCCGAAATTGTTCTTTCAAATCTGAAATGACTAAATTTGCAAACGAGGAAGGAAATTCTGCTTCACCCTTTTTATGCAACTCTGCACAGTATAGCATATGAACAAAGTTACAATTTTTCACTTGGCTTTCCAGAAGTATCAACTTTGCTCTGAATGCCTTGATAAGTGCAAATAAATCACAGACTAAATTATTTTCACCCTGCAACTTCAAATTCAAATGGTTCATATGGTTCACCAGATCAGCAAAAATGCTAATTTCCAAAGCCACTTGGTATCTGATAAAAGTGGTTCGTGATGGTTTTTCTCGGTAAGAAATGTATCAGTTTCATTCCTGAGCTGAAAGAAGCGCGAAAGAACCTTTCCACAGCTAAGCCATCGAACTGCAGTATAATATGTCAGGTCAGTAAGCTCGGAATCACATTTACCAGTACTCACTGGAAAATTAGTTCAATTGGCGCATTTCTGCACAATTCTTTCGCGGGCCGGATAAAATCACATCGCGGGCCGCATGTGGCCCGCGGGCCGTAGTTTGGAGACCCTTGATCGAGATAAAATATGTAAAGGCCGGTCACGGTAGCCAGGCGGTCGAAGACATGAACTCTTTCCCCTCGATCGTTCGAATCCCAGACAAGGCATGGATGTTCGGTATGTGTGTGTGTTTATTCTGTGTCTGTGTTGTCCCGTGTTTAGGTAGAGGCCTTGCGACGAGCTGATCACTCGTACAGGGAGTCCTACCGTCTGTAAAATGATCAAAATGAAAAAACAACCTCGACACCGTAAAGATATAAGAGGAACGGATTAAGTAAGTAAGTAACAAAATGTATTTTGTACGGATTTCTGGAGACACCGTTCTTTATTGCGATAAGAAATACACTACCTTTATCTGACCGGAACCACACAGTAGCTACACTTGCCTGCTACCCGAAAACGGGAACAGAGCTTCTGAAACGTCGTTTTTTTTATCCGGCCAATAGATAATATAGAAATAAAAATCTCTCACAGGACAATTTGGTCTTCCTCAAACTTTATAGACGCAAATCTCAGGGAAGTTCAACAAAACACCCACGTTTCAATGCCGCCGCAATCCCCTCAGAAGTTCCCCCGACTCAGTCCCGCCCATTTCGCATTCCGGGCACCTTCGCAGCGTCATGAACTGAAGATCCTGTATAATCGCATGGTTATTTCATTTCTAATGAGTGAAATACTGAAAAGTTTTATTAAAAAACAAGTCATAATTGTAAGTGTAGAATGAAAATTCTGGCGTGTTTGTTCTATGTGAACACAATTTATTGTTGAGTTCATTTCCATAGTTATGTGGGACTGTACAACCTCTTAACACCTAGTGTTTACTGTTACTGAAAGGGCCCTTGTAATATATCATGTCAATCAAAATCGGTTCGATGGTTATTGGGGGACATCGCAATAATCGCTTTTGTAGAAGTATGTCGCAAACCTTAAAGGAAAACTGCATTCAGCATATAACATAAATTCCATTTTCTCTATAATTTTTATTCGAAACATTTTGCTGTACGAGAGAATTACGCACGAAAGGTGCGCAGGAACTGATGTACGTCTGCATGTAATGTGTCTGATACTACTGTCCGAGTTTAGCTAAAATTGGAATAAGTTGACAAACTTACTTAGTAGAACTCCCCAATATCAACTAAATACTTCCAGCAGTTCTGGTGTTCTAATCTACGGGCAGGCTTTCGGCCGGGCACAGGTATGCGCCCAGAACAATAATATAACTAAAGAAACTTAAGAACGGGCAAAGTAATCTTTTCGGGAGGCGAAACAGTCATTACTGCCAGTTAGACATAGAAATGCTTTCATTAGGAGTATATGTACGACAATACCGCGGTCTAGATTTGATTTTGGAAGTGGGCGGTATTCTGGAAGTGGGCGGTATTTTGGAAACTTGGGTAACAACTCTGTAACTATTTATGAATCAACTGATCACTGTTAACAAATATTTTCATCTCCCCCATCACAAATTTTTCCCTGTACATTCTTTATAACATATCTGATGACAATAGGCAGTCTTATGGAAGAAAAGTTGTGTGTTCAGCGTGATTGCCTGTATGAGGTTTCCATTGTGTGGTGCAAACAGAATCTAGTAACTTTCCAATGATGACGTAAAGACTGTGTCATTATCTCGTGGTGATGCACCCTCAGTGATATTTCAGACACATTCCGTCAAAAGACCACTTGTTACGCTGTATGGGTACTTCGGGAGCTTCGCTGAACCATGCATTCCCTACATATCTCAATATCACGGGTACATACATAACTACGCTGAAGGTACTATCATGTTATTCTTTTTCTCGCGCAGCGGTGGGGGAGGGGGGGCTCCGCATTTCATTAACACACAAACTTGGAATAAACATGTCTAACGCAAGGATAACTGTGTACTCACCAATGTATACCACATCCATTTTATTACGTCAGAAAATACTGTCTAGTGGAGCCGATACACACTCACACGAGATAATGAATCAAAGCTTCACGCGTACATGTGAGAAATGTCTCCGCGACTTCACTAACAGCGTTTCACAGTAGAACTTCCAAACAAACACACAAACATTCCAGCCTTGCGATACGTATTACAACTTGTTGAGGGTCAAGATGGATTTCAAATTATCACTGCACACTAACACAGAACTTATTCCACGTCTTTATTGATAGGAGACTAGGTGCAATTTCAGTTGCCAACTTCTGGGACAACACAACAGCAGTCAGACTAGAGTAGCCATGATACAGCAAGCGAGCTATGGCAAGTTCCGGTTCCCCCTCAGGCCAGGGCACTATGTCACGTGACAAGAATTCAACCACTCGCCGCCAAACTATCTCCAGCGTGCAATGCGGTTTGCATGTTTACTGAACGCTATGGCACGGATCTTCACGTGTTCACGTCAGTAGAAGTCATAAATTATTATTGTTACTTTACCCTTCGCGGCGGTTCGCATTGCTTCAGATGGGCACTAATAAAACATGAAAACTGGGCACGGAGTTCCAGTTCTCTGCAACTTCGCATGTCTCATCGGCCCTGACAGCCATCTATTACAGGTAAGATACCTAATATTACAGTTAATATAACTATTGAGATACTAAAGTTCATAACTTACTGACCAACTAACTCCAAGGGGTTGAGTCCTTCTTGGGAAACGCACAGTTCCTCAATCACTGAGGAAATTCCCAGTATTTTATGGAACCCAAAGGTTCCTTACCGTGTTCACAATAAGTCCGCCTCTGGCCTCTACACTGAGGCAAACGAACACAGTCCATCTCCCCCCCCCCAAAAAAAAACCTATTTCTCTAACAACAAATTATAGAGGCATTGCTGAACAAAGTGTGGATACATTACTGCACGGACATCTAAATAATTATTCAGTTTGTGGCCTTATAACTTGAAGATGGAAGCAACCCAAACTGTACAGTATCACATCCTAGAAAACGTAAAGTCTCCGGCCTTATATGCGACGTCCGAGGATACACAATATGTAAACAGGGTGTCACAGAAACTGTCAGAACTGCAAGGAAGAGTTAACTCTTTGACTCTTGCTATTCATTCGAATTATATGAAAGAATTCAGTCCCTACTCTACAGGCGACATACAGCGTTTCCTTCGCTAAAAATGGCCGAATAATTCTGTTTAAGGACACAATTGCTTTTCATTCAAAGAATCATGTGAAACATAAATACGCTCTGTTAATAAAACGGTTTTCTTTAAATGTTACAGCAATTATTACAAGCAGTAACGACCGTGACTAATAATCCTGATAGCAGGATATCATATCAATCCAATTAAAAGAAAACACGGGTCCACATACTGTCCACAACAAGGAGTACAGTAAGAATTCGTGGGGCCCAAAATTACGATAGAGATGAGACCCCTGTATTGTTTAAGGAACTGCATGAAGAATGAGCAGTAGGAGTTAGAGAATTTTACTTGGATAATTACATGAACAGATCTTTTCGTAACAAAACAGTTTAACAGAAAACTAATAAAGGCTGTTAAAAAAAACGTACTTTGATAAAAATAATTGTTATTAAATAATAATATATGAGTAAAATTATCCCTGTGCTTTGGCAGCGAAAAACCAAGCCATGAAAACGTATGGGGAAGTAGAGATACAACTCCATGCGTTCTCAACTTCGGCACTAAGTTGATTTGAGTGGCCAGTTTCACATCATAAGGAAAGGGCTCCAGATACCCATTGGATAGATGATTGGGTGGGCCTCAGAAAAGATCTGGAAACTGTGGAGATAAGTCTTTCACTCCTTTCGGGAATCGAACCCTGATTCCTAGGCCGTCGATCCCGTAACGCATCGCTGTATCGACTGAGCTATCCTGGAGGACACGTGCTGAACTGCACAAATACTCAGAAGCCAACAGTTACCTGGCAACAGACACACAGCTGTTCCAAAGCAGGGAGCAAGCAGGGATGCCGCCTCCCAAATTTGTTTTCACTTATCGCAGCTGTTCGCCAGTGAGCTGTGTCCATCACTCCGATCTGACGAGATGGAGTCGGCTGTTTGTGATGTTCCGAGCTCTGCAGGAGAAGGCTACGTTTGTTTCCTCTGTCTCTCTTATCGCAGCTGTTCGCCAGTGAGCTGTGTCCATCACTCCGATCTGACGAGATGGAGTCGGCTGTTTGTGATGTTCCGAGCTCTGCAGGAGAAGGCTACGTTTGTTTCCTCTGTCTCTCTTATCGCAGCTGTTCGCCAGTGAGCTGTGTCCATCACTCCGATCTGACGAGATGGAGTCGGCTGTTTGTGATGTTCCGAGCTCTGCAGGAGAAGGCTACGTTTGTTTCCTCTGTCTCTCTTATCTCAGAGTTCGGAGATCCTCGGATTGCGAGGTCCTAAGCTGTAGCTTATTTCAACTGGCTACAGGTTGGACGACCGGGGTTCGATTCTCGATAGGTACAGGAGACTTTCTCTTCTCCACAGCGTCCGGACCGCCTCTGGAACCCACCGAGTCTCCTGTCTAAAGGATACCAGAAGTTCTTTCGCTGGGGTAAAGCGGCTGAGGCATGAAGTTGACCACACACTTCCATCTAGTGTCGATGTCAAGAATGGTGGAGCTATAACTCCATGCCCCCATATACCTTTATGGCGTTGTGCTTAAGTTTCACCTTACTCGGAGGTTTTAAAATTTATGACATCTGAACCCCCCCTTAAATAATAATAATAAATTTACGGGACATCCATAATTAGATCTACTGGGGTACATTGGGAAGACGGAGAAAACACTTCAGCACGTTTATCTTTATGGGTGTCTACCGCCTGCAACCGTTTTGTTTTGCACCTTAGTACCTATACTGCGCACAGTTACAGCTGTTATTTTAAACAACTGTTGACAACTACGTGACCCATAGTTTCAAAAATCATAGGTAATACGCAAATCCGACACTCCCCACGGTTACAAGAAAGCATTCGGCACTATATCACATAAATGGCTTTTAAATGTCTTACAGATATACAAAACAGCTCCTAAAACTATAACTTTCTTTGCACAAACAATGATTAAACGGTACAATGTTAGAAAAACATAGCACTGACATTTAGCAGAAAAACAGATAAGTCTAAAGCAATAAATTATCTCAAGAAGATTATACCAGGGATATTTGGTCACTGTCTTATGCTTTTGTGCCATACTAATAGATTTATCTCAAGCTAGAGATTTCGATACGTTGAACTGTATCTTCTGGGACGGAATGCCATGTAGTCGTTGTATCCCAGAAGACAGAACTCTTCATAACCACAGCTGTGAGAATCTGATATCCTACATGGCTCTGTATCCCAGAAGAGAGAACTCTTCATAACCATGTGAGAATTTGATATCCTACAAATGATTTGTTACTACAACTAGGATGGATAACTGGATAATGTAAACTCTTCAGTGTTGTCCGCACAGAAAACGTGCATAAATGACTTGTCAAAGTGTAGCATTGGGAAACAGCCACCAAACCAAGAATATGCTGCTGAAGACACAATTAAGGGCACAAGATTAACCACCTACTAATGAGAAGTTATCGAAGAAGCTCGTAAAGTATGGTGCAGACTAAACAGTACAGAGAAATGTGAACACAAAATTCACTCTGGATATCGGTAAAGCAGAGGCAGGGAGGCACGAAATGACAAGTTTTAATACCTACGTAATATACACAATCAGACTTTGTGTAATATAACATGGGCACAAAGGTGCTGCGAGAGGCAGAGTAAGTGGAGAATGGAAACATCACAAATGACGTCACATCTTCCGAGATGTGACGCCATGTAATCCAGCAGTCCATTGACCTATCAGGGGAACGTAATGCTTCAATCGTCAGGGTCGAAGAGTACGGCAAACCGGCAACCAGCAAGATGCAGCAGATAGCTTCGTGCTGGTTATTTGATTGACTTACTCACCGACCCTGAAAATGGAAGCAATATTTTTCGCTGAAACACCCGTGAACTTCAACCAGGCTCTATGGCAACACATTCCAGAAGATAGTCATTATAGCCATGAACATAACGAATGAGGTTTTCTTAGAGCAGCGATGTGTTACAATTAATTTGTGAGGCATTCTGGGTCATTAACCCGCAAGTGCCTCACACATTGTACAGTTCTCCCCATTTCCTTACAGACAAAACAGGTATCCAACCCCTAGCTGTCTCGGTACTTTAACCACTCACGTTTCATAGGGGGCACGCGTTAGCATATTTAGTTGAGGCAATATGCTACAACCCGGAACGTCGCTGGTTCAAGTCCCGATGAGGTCACTGGATTTTTTTCAATTGACCTAATCCTTCCAGCCGCACTATGGCCCTGGTGTCGACTCAGCCTCTAACAGAAATTATTACCAAGAATCTTCCTGGGGGTAAAGGGCGGCAGGCGCGTAAGGCTGACAACCTCACCGCCATGTGTAAGGCGTTTGTCTAGAAAAGTGGGAGCCTCGAAGTCTCACAAACCTACGGGCCTCCACAACCTGTTCGAGGGATAGCTTTATCTCATGTTTCATATGCAGAGGTTATGTAGCAAAATCGAATGGCAGGTGACAGGTCACAGCCGGGATTTTTAGTCCGATCTATTTAAGAACAGTTCTTAAAACCCACCTGGGGTTGTGGAGCTCTGTAGTGAAACGAAGATCAGGTTTCGTTTAAAAATAATTTTACTTTTTGCCATTAATATTTTGCATATTTCATTCTCCTTTAAATTCCCATTTTTATTTTACAAAAATCTTGCGAGACAGATCCCTGATTCAACCTCTCCCACTCGCCAGGGTCCATGGTACGTGATCATAAAATAGTGAGTAGGTAAATATTCGAAAGGAAGCAATCATGGGTATGTGAAAGTAGTGTTCCAGCATCTGCTAGTCAGTCTAGAACGAGTCTCACTGTGTTACAGTTCCACACATTAAGGTGAAACCGCGAATGGCTCATTAAATCAGTTACAGTTTCATTTTAATACCGATAACTATTGGAACAGCAGCCTTGTCTGTATGGTGTCCGATGCGCATGCGCCTTTTCCTCCATTTGGCAGCTCTAAGCCGACTCTACCACACGATATCACACCTCGCTATTATCTGATACCGCTAAGTGTTACGATGTCGTTAAGTGGAACTCTCAGCAGATGTCAGCACTCCACAAGTGGCATTTCGCCACGACACTGACCTCCCTCATTTCCTTGTAAAATGCATCTTCAGCTGGATGTCTCATGCATTATGCTTAACCCAAGTGTTCTGTTCGTTGCTTAGAATTACAGGTAAATGACACGTCTGGCAAAACAATGGCTTTGT